GTCTTGTTTCTGCTTTGCGTGCGTCTGCAGGATCTCAGTGTTTCTCCTCTTCATTTGTTTAAGTCAGTCAGTGGCTCTCTCTGTGTCTACTTAACCACATTTAGGGACTAATTTGTATATAAATCTGAGCTCAATCTGTCAACACTTCCTAATGGGGACGCCATAGGTGAAACGTCTCAAAATAAACCCGTTCGTTTTAAAAGGGGATGGCTAAGTATATTTCGCCCAATCAGAGTCATCAGAGAAGCATTAAAGCGTCACATATCCAAAAGCTTAGAGAGAGATTATGAAATTATGAACATGCTAAGTTATATAATATTTGAATATTAACTCCGCCCACTGAGGGGAGGAGCTTGTATAGGGATTTATAAAAACTGAGCTTTTAATCAAATATGATGATGTATTTCTAACTGAAACTAAATATTGAGTAGGAGGTGGGGTTTATTTTTTTAGCCCCGCCTTTCATTTTTTACTCACAGCAAACTAATGGATAGAGGGGCATGGCTAAGCTTATTTTGGCCAATCAGAGAAGCATTAAAATGTCACAAACCCAGAAGTTTAGAGAGAGATTATGAAATTATGAACATGCTAAGTTGTGTAATATTTAAATATTTACTCCGCCTATTGAGGGGAGGAGCTTGCTATAAGGATTTATAAAAACTGAACGTTTATTCAAGTTCGATTAGGGGTGGATTTAGCCATTTTGGGGGCCTAAGCAAATCCAGCCTTAGAGTCCAAGTCCTGAAATGCACCCTTTCAACTTTTATTTAATATCTAATTATATTGCTGTTTTTTTTTTTATATTAATCAATCTTCCTTTTGACATTTTAAATTAATGCAATCTCTACATTTTAAATGATTAGTTTTACAACTAAAAAAAAAAAATATATATATATATATATATAAATATATATATATATATATATTTATTTTTTTATTTTTTTATTTTTTTTATATATGTATTTAATTCGACTGCTGGACTGCTCCATGATGGATATTTTATTTGGTAATATTATTATTATTGCAATGCATTTCAAAATTATAATAATATTATGTTTGATTGTTTATTAAATCATATTAAATTACGTTAAAATTGTATTTGTTTAACTCTTACCATGCAAAATATATTAGAAATTGATGTTATATAAAGTTTACAGGTATAATTTATATTTTTAAATAGGCTATTTATTGCAGGCCCTCAGATTTCCTGAGACCCTAAGCGGCCGCTTATCTCGCTTATTAGTTAAATCTGCCCCTGAACAAAATGATGCATTTATTTTTTATAATAATTTTTTAGGGGTTTTCACCTTTATTGGATAGGAAAGTAGAGAGTATTAATGGGAAAGCATGCAGAGCAAAGAATGGGTAGGGGTCGGCATAGGGCCGTGAGGCGGGAATCGAACTCAGGTCTCCGTGAGCACCGGAGTGAATGTGTCGACGCACTAACCACTACACCACTGGCGCAGAAACCATAATGTATCTGTAACTAAATCTGAATAATGAGTAGGGGGCGGGGTTTATATTTTAAGCTCCGCCTTTCACTCTGAGCAAACTAATAGTTAGAGGGGCGTGGCTTAGCACATTTTGCCCAATCAGAGTCTTCAGAGAAGCACTGACGATCCAGAGCAGAACCAGATGGTCTGATTTTGGTTAGAGCTTAACAAAACATTACACTGCAGAGATTAATTACTTTATTATTATTATTATTAATTTACTTTAAGACTGACAATGCATGCTAGCAAAATAAACATCAGAAATTGTTTATTTCACTCATTCTTTAATGCTCTATCTGTGGAAATTCTATAGAAAGTTTAAAAATGTTGTCTAATTTAGTATGATTGCTAAAATATGAGACTAGAAAGTGACTAGACAAACATGATCTTGATGTCTAATAAATAAATGGTCATCCACTATTGATTTAAATCCAATTGATTGATATTAAGCAAGACAAGAGCTATAAAACTAGCCCAGTGGTCTCGTGTAAACTCTAGTTAGTCTCAGAATGTCATGTTTTGGTGAATGTAATGTAATATACGGGCGGCTGTGCTTCCGCTAGTAGGCCGCAGTGAAGCCTGAGGCTGGATTTTAGCACTCGTCTGGGGAAACACTGGTGATAAATGGTCTGATTCCGTCTCCTGAGATCAGCGGGTATTTTTGTAGCACCATCAATAGAGACGGAGCCCGCAGGGGTTTCACAGCACCGGCAACTGTGAAAGAGAAATGAGACGCAGATCAGAGCCGGGGAAAAAAAAAATGTCCAGGATGCAGAAACGCAGAGAGAGAAGCTGAGATGAGCCGCAGCCATTATTGCAGCGTTGCCATGGCGACTGCGAGTCTGTCTGAGCACACACTCATCTGTAGAGTCAGTGTGAACCAGACGTTGCTGCAGACTTCTATTGTTTATCTGTAATAGGGTATTTAGTAGGGGGTGGGGCTTTATTTTTGAGCTCCGCCTTTTATCTTTCACTCACAGCAAATTGATGGTTATAGGGGCGTGGCTAAGCATAATTCGCCTAATCAGAAACTTGCACAGATTAATGGTTTGTCCTAAAATGCTCTGAAATTTGCATTTTTATTGGATGTTTAACGTTAAAAGATGAAGAGGGGCGGGGTTTAGAGTAGCCCCTCCCCTTTAATAGCGCTTTTTTTTTCTCACAGCTCTGCTAGTGAGAGTGCTTAAATTCAAGCGCAACAAATAATCAGCCAATGAGAAAAATTGGGCGGGGGCATGTCAGCCACTAGAGAGCATTTGATTGGTCAGAAGATTTGATGAGAATCTGAAGTATGTGGTGATGTAAAAAAATTGTTGATGCATTTATGCAGAAGTGACTACCTTTGGATGTTTATTTCTTATAATGTGAATTTTGTCTGTTTTGGAGCACACTATTATCTGCTTATAGATATCCTGAAAGCTGACACACTGATACTAACATCTAAAAAATAGTATTTTAATTCCAGGGGCACTTTAAGACAAAAAATGTGCCCTTGCAAAATATATATATATATATATATATATAATGAAATATATATATATGCTCATTTCCTGTAGCCCTTTAAAATACACACAGCAGAGTCGTAACACTCATCATTACAACAAATCAAAACTGTTATTACATTGGTCGGGGAAAATACAGTATATTTCACAGTTTTACAGTTATTACATTCCCAGAAACAGCAGCGTGAGCCGTTGAGCTGCTGTTCGGTCTGATTATTGGCGAGTAAAGCAACTGCTGTGACAGTATTGAGTCTGATGATGGATCAATAAAGCACAGTGATCACATTAGTAGAGCTCTGACCTTCTGCTCCGCCATTACAGCTCATTATCCCTGTGTGTGAATGAACTGAACATGAACACACTGCTCCTCACTGTGTGTTGCTGAGAGCGTCTCTGAAATGCCATCAGACTTGATCTCCTGTCTTTCTCTCTGATCGTCCTTCTGTCTCTCTTTCTGATCTCCTCTCTGTCTCTGTAATGATCTGTGTGTCCGATCTCTCGCCTGTTTGTCTGATCTTTTATCTTTCTTTCTGGTCTCAACTCCGTATGTCTCTCTGATCTTCTGTCTGTCTGTCTCTCTCTGACCTCCAGTTTGTCTGATCTTCCATTTGTCTGTCTGTCTGCCTGTCTACCAGTCTGTCACTCTCTGACCTTAAGTTTGTCTTATCTCCCATGTTTTTGTCTGTCGGTCTGATCTTCTCTCTGTCTGTCTGTCTGTCTGTCTATGTCTGTCTGTCTGTCGCTCTCTGACCTCCAGTTTGTCTGATCTCCCATATTTCTGTCTGTTTGTCTGATCTTCTGTCCTTCTGTCTGTCTGTCTCTCTCTGACCTCCAGTTTGTCTGATCTCCAATCTGTTTGATCTTCTGTCTGTTTTTCGGATCTTCTTTCTGTCCTGTCTGTCTGTCTGTATGTCTGTCTGATCTTCTGCCTGTCTGCCTTTCTGTCTGTCGCTCTCTGACCTTCACTTTATCTGATCTCCCATATTTCTATCTGTCAGTCTGATCTTCTCTTTGTCTGTCTGTCTGTGTCTGTCTGTCTGTTGCTCTCTGACTTCCAGTTTGTCTGATCTCCAATCTGCCTGATCTTCTGTCTGTCTTTCTTATCTTCTGTCTGTCCTTCTGTCTGTCTGTATGTCTGTCTGTCACTCTCTGACCTCTAGTTTGTCTGATCTCCCATCTGTCTGTCTGTCTGATCTTCTGTCTATTCTTCTGTCTATCTGTCACTTTCTGACCTTCAGTTTGTCTGATATCCAATCTTTCTGTCTGCCTGTCTGATATTCTGTCTGTCTGATCTCCAATCTGTCTTTCTGATCTTCTCTCTGTCTGATCTTCTGTCTATCTTGCTGATCTCCAGTCTGTCTGTCTGATGATCTGTCTGTCTGATGATCTGTCTGATGATCTGTCTGTCTGATGATCTGTCTGTCTGTTGATCTGTGTTTGATGATCTGTGTCTGGTGATCTGTCTGCCTTTATAATGATCTGTCTCTCTGATTATCTGTCTGTCTGATAATCTGTCTGTCTCTCTGATGATCTGTCTGTCTGATTATCTGTCTGTCTCTATGATAATCTGTCTGTCTCTCTGATGATCTGTCTGTCTGATGATCTGTCTCTCTGATGATCTATCTGTCTGATGATCTGTCTGTCTGATGATCTGTCTGTCTGATGATCTGTCTGTCTCTCTGATAATCTGTCTGTCTCTCTGATGATCTGTCTCTCTGATGATCTGTCTGTCTGATAATCTGTCTGTCTCTCTGATAATCTGTCTGTCTCTCTGATGATCTGTCTCTCTGATGATCTGTCTCTCTGATGATCTGTCTGTCTGATAATCTGTCTGTCTCTCTGATGATCTGTCTGTCTGATGATCTGTCTGTCTGATGATCTGTCTGTCTGATGATCTGTCTGTCTCTCTGATAATCTGTCTGTCTCTCTGATGATCTGTCTGTCTGATGATCTGTCTGTCTGATGATCTGTCTGTCTCTCTGATAATCTGTCTGTCTCTCTGCAGGTTCATCTTACTCTTCAGGAACTCTGTCCTGCCCCTTTCACCTTATCCGTTCCTCTGTCGTTACCATGGCACTATCACTGTGGTTACTGTGGATGTGTCCTGTGTTGCTTAGCAACATTGCTCCCTCCGAACAAGGTAAGTTCAAGGTTCTGACTCCGCCCCCCTCAGACACATAGGCTCCTCTATTGGCTGAATTGATTTCTAAAAATTAGTGTATAATTAAAAATCCTTCAGTTGTTGGAGCTGCTTTAACGCCAGTGTGTGTTTGGGATTGGCAGGTCTGAGTCGAGCCGCGATGCCCTTTGGTCTGATGAGGAGAGAGCTGGCGTGTGAAGGTTACCCCATCGAGCTGCGCTGCCCAGGAAGTGATGTCATCATGATTGAGACCGCCAACTACGGCCGCACAGACGACAAGATCTGTGATGCCGACCCCTTCCAGATGGAGAACGTGCAGTGCTACCAGCCTGACGCCTTCAAGATCATGTCACACAGGTCTGTGTAACTACAATATACATATTTATATATTATATTTGTCACGATTCACAATTTCGATTGTTTAACAAAAGCCTAACGACATCGTACAGGTGTCACAGTGCATGTTTACTTATGTTTACTTTTGAAAACACTATTGGTTGGGTTTAGGGAAGGGTTTAGATCAGTTGTTCACTAGGACAATCCCTGTGCGCAACAATAAAATATACCCAGATTTACGAAAATATAGACTGCGCCCTCTAGTGGATTTTGTCATCAGGAATGTGCAAACAAATATACACAAAGAAACAAATTTCATGTTCACAAAAACACCCTCTAGTGGATTTTTTATCTGAAATGCACAAAAAACACACTAAGTAACGCATTTAAGATTTTGCAAAAATATAGACAACGCCCTCTAGTGTATTTGACATCTGAAACATGTAGCAAATCAAATCCTAAGTAACATTTCCGATTAACAAAAATACAAACATCGCTCTCTAGTGCAGTGTTTCTCAACTGGTGGGTTGCAACCAAAAAGTGGGTCGCGGGAACATTTTCAGTGTGTGTTAAAAAAAATTAACAACAAAAGTTACATTTTTTACTTATTTTTGCTTATACCGAACTTTTATTTTGAAATGCGTGCGCGACAACCCTACTGTTTCACATCTGAAATTTCATTTGATTATTGCAACAAATATGTCAAGCGTAAGTATGACCCCGAATATCTAAAGTATATATATATATATATATATATATATATATATATATATATATATATATATATATATATATAGCATGAAACCTTCTAAATTAAAACAACATTTAGAAACCAGAAAACATGTTTTATTTACAGTTTGTTATTAACAGTATTTGTCGCTTTTACTTTGTAATATTTCTATAATTTGATCCATTTTTGTTAAATGACAGCAATAAAATAGTGTTTATTTGTAAGGCTTGGTGAATTTCTTATGATTTATCTATCACTACTTGTTTATGTTAGCAAATAAATACAAACTAAGTACAGGGTTCAACGCTAAGGATTTTTTCTAGTGTCCCGATCGGACCAGTGGTTCAGATTTTTACTTGCTCTGCCAATATTTTCACTGGCCCCACCACAAAAAAGTTAATAGTTATTCCTTAGCCACAAATTTAAAAAAGAAATGTGTCAAAATGTTTGTAAATCTAGAATTTAGCTATTTAAAAAATGTTAATAAATGTGTAATGAACAAAATTCAAAGTGTTTCGCAAACAAAAGTAGCAAAATGTGCAGGTATTTTATGGCAAAACAAAAGATGACTGACCTGCCAAACTGACGACAAACTGTACAAAATATCACTTAATTTTTTAAGTCTTGGCGTACCCTCATAAATGTCTGCTTCCAAGACGTTAGAAACAAATGTTTTCCTTTAGCATCATCACTTGATGTTGCCGCCATGTTGCTGTCTCTTCGCTGTACTAGTTGTTATGAAAAAAATAACATGCTCACAGCATCCAATCAGATAAGAGGAACCGAGAAGGTAGCATTTGAAGGCTTAAAAACACAAACAGTTTCTCGATTCTGACTGTTTTTGCAGACAATTGACAAATAGTCACAGGGAAATTAAACTTTAGTGACAGGGCATCAGTGGCCGGATCGGGCCAGTAACAATCCTGTTTACTGTCCCGAGCATCTCACACGCTGGCCCCAGGCCATTGGGCAGTCCTTATTGTTGAGCCCTGAAGTATAATTCCTAAAATTGTATTATAGTTCCTAAAAATTTGGGTCGCGGCTTGGTGACCTTGTAAAAATGTGGGTCCCATGGCCAAACCAGTTGAGAACCCCTGCTCTAGTGGATTTGTCATCTAAAAAATGCAACAAAAACACACCCTAAGTAATGTATTTAAGCATTGCTAAAATGTAGACAGTGCCCTCTAGGGGTTTTGCATTCTGAAACAAGCAGTCAAACGTACACAGAGCAACGTATTCCATATTCACAAAAATGCAGACAGCACTCTAGTGGATTTGGCATCAGAAATGTGCAATAAAATGTATACAAAGTAGCATATTACAGATTTGCAAAAATATAGACAACGCCCTCTAGTGGATTTTACACCTGAAACGTGACGAAACCCAGAGCAATACGTTTCAGATTAGCAAAAATACGCACAACGACCTCTGGTGGATTTGTGATCTTAAACGTACAACAAAACATATTCTAAATAACGAATTTAAGATTAACAAATATACAAAATCTCTCTAGAGGAATTGTCATCTGAAACATGCAACAAAATGTACCTGGAGCAACAGATTTCAGATTCACAAAAACTGCTCACAGGACTCTTCAGTGGATTTGTCATCAGAAATGCACAATGAAACGTACATGAAGCAACAAATTTCAAATTCATAAAAATGTAGACAGCACCCTCTAGTGGAATTGTCATCTGAAATGTACAACAAAACGCACCCAAAGTAATGTTTTTCAGATTCACAGCGCCCTCTAGTGGACTTAAAATCTGAAAGGCACAACAAAACACACCCTAAGTAATGCGTTTCAGATTTACAGCCCCCTCTAGTGGACTTAAAATCTGAAACGCACAACAAAACACACCCTAAATAATGCTTTTCAGATTTACAGCACCGTCTAGTGGATTTGACATCTGAAAAGCACAACAAAACACACGCTAAGCAATGCTTTTCAGATTTACAGCCCCCTTTAGTGGATTTATCATCTGAAAAGTACAAAAAAACACACCCTTAGCAATGCATTTCCCATTTACAGCACCCTCTAGTGGAATTGTCATCTGAAATGTACAACAAAACGCACCCTAAGCAATACATTTCAGATTTACAGCGCCCTCTAGTGGATTAGTCATCTGAAAGGTACAACAAAACACACCCTAAGCAATGAATTTCGAATTTACAGCGCCCTCTTGTGGATTTATCATCAGAAACGCACAACAAAATCTACCACAAGTGAGGTATTTCAGATTTACAAAAATGTACAACTCCCTCTAGTGGATTTGTCATCTGAAACATGCAATGAAACGCACCCTGAGAAACATATTTCAGTTTTCATAAAGATATAGCCTGAGGCACATGTTTCCAACGAGCCCCTGCTGTTCTAGTCTGTAATCATAATGATCATCTTTATCTAAAGACACTTTAAGTGTATGAGTATATGATATATGTTCATTCAGATTGAACAAGCGTGTGTGTGTGTGTGTGTGCAGATGAGATTATGTGCGTGTGTGTGTGTGAGTTTGAGTGTTTTGGCGTCAGTGTGTCTCCCCAATGTTTGAGCTGCTGCCGTTTCCTAGAAGAACAAATCAATGCGGCTTCACTCTATCCATTCCCACAGAGAGACAGAGGCCAGAGGAGCAGATCCTGATTTAATTGCCATGACGATGATGATGATGATGATGATGATGATGATGGTCACGGTCTGAAGCGTCTCTCATCATGATTATTGACGTCTTTGGCCACTTCTGAAAATAAAACTCTGCTGCTTTTCCTCGTGATGATGATGTTTGTGTTGCTGCTGTTCAGTTTTCTGTGTTCACTGACAGCTGTACACACACACACACACACACACACTTAGACATCATGAGAGCATGCTGATGATTGGGTGTGTGTGTTTCAGGTGTAATAACAGGACGCAGTGTGTGGTGGTGGCCGGTGCAGACGTGTTTCCTGATCCCTGTCCTGGAACTTACAAATACCTGGAGATCCAGTATGAGTGTGTCCCTTACAGTGAGTGAAACACACACACACACACACA